CGCTACAAAAGAAAAACCAAACAGTCCAGCAGCGAGATGGGGCCCTGGCCTCCAAGCTCCATTCTGTACCCTCTGTCCAGGAACTCGCCACCGTGTCCCAGGATCTCAGAGACCTGCACTTCCCGGGCGGACCGTCTCCCACCCCGACAGGTTCTGGTGTCTCCGGGACAGAACTGGAAGCCCAGGCGCAGGGCAAGACCCGGAGCCTCCAGGGTTCCCATGCACATATTGAGGCTGGTGCCCCCACCTTGGGCTCTGCTTTCCTTGCAGTGCTCTATGGGGGGCCCTCCCACACCCTTCTGTGCTTCCTTCTACCTGTCTGCACCAGGCAGAGCTTGCTGTGTGGGGATCCAGCCTCAAACAAGGCGGGAGTCCGCAGACCAGGCTGAACTAAGGAAGCACAGGCCCACTGCCCTGCCTCCAACCCCCACCCTGATCCCCAGCCCTGCGCCCACAGCCTGAGGGGCGCCAAGCAGCGGTCCCTAGGGCTGGGGGCCTCCCTCAAGGCCATGGACTGGAGGTGGCAGTGGAGAGGGCTCCCCAAGGGGTCCTCTGATGTTCTCCCACACAGTTCCCAGGGGGACAGGGCCACCCCAAGCCGGCGCACCCCAGAAATGGGAGGGGAGGGTTCCAGCCAGACTCCCGCCGCACTCACCCCAACCACTAAGCCCCTCCCCTCCCCCCAGCGGGGCTCGCTGTACCCTCTGTGCAGGGAGCTCCAGCGGGCAGGCAGGATGGGAACCCCACGGAGGACCCCACAAGGCAGGCCCCCAGGGGGGAGCCCAGTCTGTTTGTGCTCTGAGACCACAAGGACCTGCTCAGACCCGGACCTAGGGAGCCCATTCTGCATCCACCCCTGCGGTGATCCCAGCCACAGAGCCAGTCGTTGGGCAGCCAAGCGCGGGAGGCTGGTCAGCGCCTCCCCCGAGGGAGAAGGTGCACAGAGATGGGGACCCGCTTCCTACCCCTCGCCTGTGCCTGGGCGGCAGGGGCCTCTCCAGTCTGCTGGAGCTCAGGATCAGTGGCTTTTGGTAAATCCCAGCCCTGGTAGGGTCGTTTCCTATTGTCCAGCTGTCCCTTGGACTGGAGCCATGTCCTAAATGGCTAACTCCTCTGGTGACCCAGAGGGCAATGCGCCCCTTTGCTCTATGTTCACGCCATTGTGCTGAGTGGCTGAAGCTCAGTCTCCTTCTCTGAAGAATGGGTACAGTAATGACCAGGACCACTCAAGGCTGTGTTCAGAACCACCTGGCCCCAGGGAGGTGGCAGCCAACAGCAGGGCACAGAAGGGCACAGCCTGAGTCTGACTGGCATCTCTGAGTCCCTGTGGCAGGCAGGGTGTGGGGGGCATCGGGCTCTGGGAAGATCAGCTTCACCCGTCTCCCGCAGTAACTGTGCCCAGTGTAGTGCCGCCTTCCCCACTGCTGGCCCTGCCCTCCCGACCTGTCCTTCAAATGCCCTGTCCTCTGGGTGCTCCCTCAAGGTGCAGCTGGTCACATGGCCAAGAGCAGCTCAGTGGGGATGGCTCCCTGGGGTGACACAGACCCAGCAGCCTCCTCCAGGACCCAACCCTGACACGCTGTCACCAGGACAGTCACTGATGCCCTTATCACCCCCCAAAAGCTGCGGGATGCAGGGGACCCAGACGCCCACAGCACAGAGGAGATGCCTAGTGACTGCGCTGGAGGGATGGATCTGGTCGGCCAAAAAGCCATGCTGGGCCCAACCCGACCCGGTGTGCCTGCAGCCCCCCTTGAGCACCCTGACCCAGAGCTGTGCTCCCAGGACCGGCTCCCCGGGGAAGGGGAGGCCCAGCATGGACGCCAGGCTCGAATTCAGGGCGCCTTCCCCACATGGGCCTGGCTGCTGGCTCCCCCATCCTGCCGGCCCCCACACCCATGAGCAGGATGACCCATCCGCTCTCTGGTCTTCCGGGTCGGTTTACTTGGTTTCTCTGAGCTTGGTTTCTCCCGGGAAGGAGAATCACCGCCGCACTCCCCCCCTGCCCTGTCATATGCGTTCCCAGCCCATAGGGCAGCAGTGATTCCTGGGGCCCCAGACCCTCTTGGAGACCGGCAGCACCCCGCAGGGACCCCCAAGATGGAAAGTTTTCCAAGGCCCAGCGCCTATCCAGAGGCCTGAACCCCACTGCATTCTCATAGGAATAGAGCCAGGCTCAGCGGAGTTGGGGTGAGTGCTAGGATCCTGCACTTAGAGAGAAACCGCAAAAGCCTGGATGGTTGACTGCTGCCCCTTCCTGTGGGTCGCTCAGCGTGCCCTTGCGCTCGCTGCCCGCGGCCCTCTTGCCCTACCAGCCCCACAGGATCCCGAGGACCCTGTGTCGGGGCCACTCGGCTTCTCCAGCAAGATTCCCGCCTGCCGTCCCCAGACAAGCGTCTCCCGGCCCAGGCCTTCCTGGGTGGAGCCGGCAGGGTCTCAACACTAGGCCAATGGGCTGACCCGGCACTACCGGACAACCCGGTCTTCCTCAGGACCTCAGGTGGAAATATAAAGCCCAGTGTGGGGCCTGGCACTTTCCTGCCAGCCCCAGCCAGCGCCTGCCAGCAAAGGCTGCCCGGGGCGGCGGGACTGCCCTCCGCTCTGTGTGGGCAGCAGGCTCGGGCCATGCCCAGCTGTGCGGCTGATGCCCCGCGCTGAGGCCGTGCCACCTCGCGCTGTCCCATGGGCCTGAGGCAGGCGTGGGCACCATCCCAAGTGAGGACAAGGCCGGATCTTCACCCTCTTCACCCGCCTTTGCTTCTGGTCACGTTGCTTCTCTGAGCGCCAAGGCTCCCCCAAAGGAGGCCACGCATTCCTTGGTCTGATCCCCAGCTCTGCGCACCACGCACCGCGCACCGCTCCACCCCTGCGCCCAGCCCAGCAGCATCCGGTCCTACCTGGCCTCCCAGGCCTGCGCCCTGCTCCGCACCAAGCTCCTCTGCAGCCGCAGCCCTCGGCCGCCTCTTGGAACCACACCCCTCCCCCAGCAGGGCCTGGCGGGCACAGGCGCCCCAAGCCCAGGCCCAGCCCCTCCCTTCGCCTCTGCTTGCTTAACCTTCTCACCGGGCAGTGACCTGTGCCCAGCAGGCGCCGCCCTGGGGTTAGGTCGGGGTAAGGGGCGCCTCACGGGTCAGGCAGGAGAGACACTCTCCGGCCCCCATCCTACCCAGGCCGGGCGCTCAGGGAGGCTTGCGGCCTCTCTGGGCTTTGACACCTGAGGACCGAGCCCCGCCCTGGCTTAGGCGGCTCAGTGAAATGAAAATGTGGTCTTTGTTCAAAAAACAATGAAGAACCTGGAAGCCTAGCACTCCAGTGGGCTGAGGCAGGAGGATCAAAAGTTCCAGCCTAGCCTGGTAACTTGGTAACATAGCAGGACCCGGTCTCAAAAAAAGCGGGGTGAATGCTGAGGTCGTAGCTCAGAGTGAAATCCCAGCTTCAACCCCAAGTACTGGGGGGAAAGTGGGGTGGAAGACACGTGGTGGCTCCCTGGAAGCCCCGTGGGTCCTGTGTCCCAGGGGACCTGCGGCCTGCCATGGGGACTCCAGAGGGGTCTGGGGGCTGATTGCACAGGGTCTCCCTAGCTACGGTGGGGGTGGCGATGAAGACGTTATGGAGTCCACCCTGATCCAATGCCCTGGTTCTGGCTGGGCCTGGCCAGGCCCCTCCTTGGCACCATGTGCTGGGGATCCTCAGGTTGTGACCCACGGTGGTCACTGTGCAGGGGACCCAGGCCCGGCCCACTGTCCCCTGGAGATGGTGCCCGGCTCCGGAAGCTTGACTCTGTCCTCAGGACAGACCTGGCACCTTGGTGGGGAAGCCACTGCTGCTGGCAGAGACGGTTCTGCCTGAAGTCCTGTCGGCTGTGCCCCAGGAAATGCTTCCATTGCAGGGTGAGGCCCTGGCCCCCTGGGCCTCAGTTCCCTTCACTGTAAAGGGGTTGTTGAGCCCTAACTCTGACCCAGGTTCCCTTCTAAGCCTGGCTGAGGAGAGGGGTTGGGCTGAGCCCCGCCTTCCACCCCACACCCGTGTGTGTTCAGGCATCCCTCGGTGGTTCTCTGTTTACCGAAGCCCAGAGAGGTGAGGGAGATCTCTTAAGACCACACAGCAGCAGGAAGAGGTGAAGTCTGAATGCAGGGCCTTGTGCACCCTCTGCCACTCAGCCTGGGCACACACACGGGTGTGGGCACACACACTCAGACACAGTGATTAAAACACAGTGTTTTAAAAAACGTCCGTCCCAGAAGATGCGAACCCAAATCCATTTTCTTCAAGCTCCAATTGATTTCTCTTCAAGAGCGCCTGCATTACGTGAGGGTCAGCTCTGAAGGTCAGCTGGTTTAAATAGAAGCGAGTCCGGGAAAAACACATCAAGGCAGGCAGCCCAGGTTCGAGTCCCGGGGGAGCCAGCGCCGCGCTGAGTAACTCGGGGAGGGTGCGAACTGCACTGAGCAGCTCTGCCGGGCGCTGGTCTTTGGGCGATCACTTCCAGTCTGAGTGAAGCAGTGTTACCAGGGAAACCAGGGACCCCAGCCCAGGAGGCCCCAGTTCACCTAGGGGAGTGGGTCTGGGAGCTGGGGTGCCTTCTAAGCATTCCGCATTCTCTGCGGGAAGCCCAGGGCCGTCCTGTCCCTTTCCTTCTTTCTCCCTCCTTCCCCACTACAGCCTTTGGAGAGTGCTCTGACCCACCTGCCGCCAGTTTCCGGCCTGGATCTCTTGCTCACACCAGGAGGCCTGAGCAGGAGATCCTTTTGGAAATGCAAAGGCTGAGTCCAAGAGAGGTGCAGCGATTTGCCCAGGGGACCCAGCAAACGGGCACTCTGGCTCCGAGCCCACAGCCGGGCTGAGCCTATTCCCACCCCCAGTCTCCTGGGCTGTCAGCCGCACCGATCTGCCCCACGCCGGGCCTTGGGCACCCGCCCCACTCCCTCTCGCCCCTCGCAGCCTGAGGCTGACATAGTGCTACTCAGAGTCCAGGAGAGCAGAGCGGGCACAGCGGGCACAGCAGCCATCTCCAACGGGGCTGGCTGACCCAGATCAGAGGGCATGCAGGTGGGGAGGGTGTGGACAAGACATGCCTGGTGTGCGGTGGACAAACAGGACGTTTGTGGAGGGGTGCATCGGGCTCCCAGGAGGCCACAGGCCGCTGGGCAGGCTGAGGAAGGAGGGGGCCCCAGGGCCTCCAGCTCCCGCAGCTCTGTGCTTCCCACGTGGGATGCCACAACCCAGGAGAAGCAGCATTCATTTTGCTGTTAGAGCGTCATTGTGTTCTAGATTCCGGATTAGCATATTTGCCTGAGCTCAGGAAGGTAAATCTCTCCTGTCTGGAAAGGTGCTAACGAGGCAGGGCGGGGCCCTTCGGGGAGAGGCAGACCTGCCCCAAGTGAGAGTGCACAAGAGATTGAGACCAGAGCAGGAGACGCTCAGGAGCTGCTTGTCATCATTTTAAAAGTGTGTGCTTTTTTTTCCAGCACACAGGATGAACCTAGGGTGCTCAGTCTCTCCTCACTCCGAGGCAGGGGACCCCCAGGTCCTACCCTTCCTCCACCTCCAACAGGGCTGACCCAGATCAGAGGGCATGCAGGTGGGGAGGGTGTGGACAAGACACGCCTGGTGTGCGGTGGACAAACAGGACGTTTGTGGAGGGGTGCATCGGATGTTTGTGGAGGGGTGCACCTCGTCTCCCAGAGGCACTGAGCCTGAGCCTGCAGCAGCTGTGGAGACAGGGACCCCACATCTAGGCGCTGTGGGCAGGCGCTGTGGGGTCTGCCCCACTGGGATGGGGTGCCGCTGCCCTGTGGGGAGCTCAGCAAAGGCCTGGGAAGCGCTGCGGCCTGTGGTGGCCTTGCAGCTCCCGCAGAAGTTGCTCGGCAGCCAGCCCGGCCGAGGCTGCAGGCTGAGCCTTGACTTCATGTGTGGCTCCAGACCACAAGAGCTCCGATGTGACAGAGGAGTCCTGGGTGTTCTGTGGAATGTTAGTCTGTCTTGTTCCTCAGAAAAAAGGAGCCCGTGGTCCCCACCGTACAGGGCCAGACATGTCAGAGAGGAAACAGTGATGCCCCGAACCTAAGGAAGGGGAGGGCACCGCTCTACTCAGGGGCTCCTAGGAGGGACTCAGACCTTTGGCGCCCAGACCTCCCGGAGGCTTTGTGCATCTCTGAGGGGAAGGAGGTGGCCTGGCCCTGGGTTGGGGGCGTTGCCGTGGTGATGGTCCCACCCACCTCCACCCCTCCACCCCACCCCACCCCAGGCCTGCTCCCTCTGGCGCCCCCTGGAGGCAGAGTCCCGCAGCGCCCCTCTGGGGAGCAACAGGATACAGAGCCCCCCTGGCCACAGAGGGCCACAGAAGGGCCACAGAGGGCCACAGAGCGGCCACGCCAGCCGTCTGCGTGGGCACAACTAGGGGTCCAGGCTGAGAAAGCCCAGGGCCACGCAGGGCCCCTGAGGGAGCCCCATGCTCCTGCTCTTTAGCACCGCTGCAGCCTGGAGGCTTGCCACCCCCAAACCCACGTGTTGAAATCCTCACCCTCAAGTCCCAGGTGGGATTTTACAAACCAGGGCTGTGGGGTGCTGGTCCCCCTGGAAGCAGCGGAGAGGCTGGAGTCACAGCAGCGGTGGCAGTGACCTTGTGGCTCTGTCCCTCGGGGCCCCGCGCCAGTGAGGACCCAGCTTTGCAGAATGGAAGAAGGAAGAACAGAGCTGGATCGTCCCTGGGGCAGCGGCTCCGAGTCCACCGTCACATCCACCGCCCGAGAGCAGCAGGGCCAGGGACAGTGCGGGCTGCCCCTCAGTGAGCGGAGCAGGGAATGTCCATGTGCACTTACACACACACACACACACACACACACTCACACTCACACCTGTGTCCTCACGGCAACCCCAAGGTGGGCTGCCTGTGGACAAGGAAGTGGAGGCTCAGAGAAGGCCAGGGACTCACCTCAGACCACACAGCCTCGGGTGAGAGGCACAGACAGGACTCCGGTTGGGCAGGCTGCCTGCAAGGCCCGTGCTCAGGCAGGGTGGCCAGGGTGTGCTGGGCTGGTCAGAGGTGGAGTTTTGTCAGTCGGGGCCAGGACACCGGCCACTGAGGCGCACCTGGAAAGCCCTGCTGAAAACTGAGCGGCAATGGTGCCATCCTTCCTGTGGGCACAGCACCAGTGTTTGTGGTTTCAGCGGCCACTGACCCCTTCCCTGCCCCAAAGACCCCATCAGGCCGGGGGGAGCGCATCCCTGGGAAGGGTGTGGCGGGGTTGCCCTGGGTGGGACCCAAAATCTGGGACCAGGCCCCCTTCTGGCCTCAACCCTGCAGCCCGATGTCACACAGGGCCACTGTTCTGGTTACCCCAGCAGGAGACAGAGCCAGGACCCACCCCAGGCTTGCCTGGCACCCACACACACCTGGCCCACCTGTCTCCGCCTTACTGCTAGCCCCGTCCTGGGTGGTCACTGGCCACCTACGGAGTCTCCAGGCCACACTTGTGTGTTTGCTGGATGCTGAAAAGAGCAGGGCTCAGCGAATCAGCCCCACATCCCTGGCACCCCTTGTCCCCCGAGCGGTGGGAATGGAGTCTATGGGCACCAGGCTCCACTCTGGGCAGAGCTTGCCGCACCCCAGCCCAGCCAAGAGGGCAGCCCTGCAGCCTCTGCACCTGCACCCCACGCCTGCTGTGCGCCTGCTCCCCTCGCCCTCCCCCTTCTTGCCTGCCTTCTCTTCCCCACTTCCTCCATTTGCTGTGAATACTTGTTTATCCATGGGTCCCACACTCCTGGCCCTGAAGGCTCCCAGGGGAATCCAGGCGCCAGCCCTGGCCCGCACCACCCTGCTCGCTGGTGTGGGCCCTCGGCCACCCCCTCTTCCTGCTCCCCCCATCCCGTCGTCCTCCAGGACCCCGTGAGCACCTGCTCCTTGGTGCCACTTGGTTGATGTCCAACTCTCTCCTGGACTTGAACCCTCCAAGGGACGAGGACAGTCCTGCTTGGCCACCGTGTCCCCAGCACTGCTCCTGGCCCAGGAATGTTCAGGGCAGGATGTGAGGGATGCAGATGCAGGACAGTGTCCTCCTGGCCCTGCTGCCCAGTACGCACTGCCTTCTGCACCCAAGGCCCTTGCTGAGGTCCTCCCAGGAGGGTGGACCCAGGGCGGTGATGTAGGACCACTGGCCCAGAAAGACCTCATTAGAGCCATAACATGAGCTGGGTGTGGTGGTGCACACTTGTAATCCCTACACTGGGAGGCTGAGGCAGGAGGATATCACGTTGAAGGCCAACCCAGGCTGCACGGTGAGACACTGTCTCAAATGACAATAAAGTGTGCTGGGAACGTGTTCACACACAGTGGGACCAGTGAGGAGGAGCAGCAGGCAGCCCAGGGAGGGTTGGACTCACTGTTCTCTGCTGTGTTCCCCACCTGCCCCTCGTGACACCCTGACCCCACTCATCGCCCCCTCTTGGACAAGGCCCAGCCTCTCCCACCCCCACACTCAAGCCTCTATTTCCCGAGCCAGTGTCACCCCTGTGGCTGAGCCTAGGTGTCCCTGTAGGTACAGCAGGGCCCTGGTGCTGAGGGTGGGCAGGAGTTGACAGGAAATTGGGTAGGGACCAAGGCTGGCGTTGGGCCAGCTGCACACGCTTCCCGTGGGTGCTGTAAACTTAACACAAGTTTATCCTCTCACAGTCCCAGAGCGCGCAGGTCCTAAAACCCAGGTGTGGCAGGGCCCCAGGCTCGAGCAAGGCCCATGGCATTGCCTCCTCAGCGCCACAGAGCACCTGGGGCTGCAGCTGAGGCCTCTCCTTGTCCTCATGGCCGGCGCGACAGCAGGTCCTCCTCAGCTTCTGCAGGGTCCTCCCCTCTCTCTCTCTGACTCTAGCCCTCCTGCTTCCTCTCCAGGGGCCCTGGCGCTCCCTGAACCCCTGTAGAGACCCACGACAACCTCCCTACCTCAAGATCCCCTGAACAGCAATGCTGGTGGTCAGCATGCCTGGTTAAGAAAGAAACTCCTCCCAGGAATTAGCCTGTGTCTGGGGGTCATGGCGGGTGACCTTGGGGTCTATATCTGGTCGCTGCCCCTCCTCTCTAGCACCGGCCCCCTGCTCTGGTTCCTGGCCACCATGAACTGGGCAGCTCTGTCCCACCAGACCCTCCGGCCACCATGCTCCCGCCTTGGAGCCTGCTGAGGGTGGACTGGGTCTCCTGGAGCTGTGAGCCACACCCTTCTTTGTGTTTCTTTTTCTTTTTTTTTTTTTTTTGGTACTGGGAGTCAATCTCAGGACCTTGTGCTCGCTAGGCAGGCACTTATGCCACTGAGCTACATCCCCAGCCCAAGCCACACCCTTCTTTAAGCTGTGGGTGTTGGGCGTTGTGTCCCAGCAACAGGACAGCGGGGTGACATATCCCTTGGCCTAGCCCCACCTGCAGAGACCCTTGTGTCTGCGAGGGCCACGCACACAGGCTGACGGTTAGGCCGTGGACGTCTTTGGGGCCTCTGCCCATCCGGTCACAGCTGGGCGGGAGGGAGTGGCTGAGGCGGAGGCTCGTGGGTCAGCCTCTCCGGCCTCCCTAGGTGGCATCAATGGAGACAGCAGTGACTGCCAGCCGAGACTCCCCGGACTTGAGTTCCCAGCCCTTGGTGTGGGTGCCCAGGACCCAGGCGCCCTGAGGCTGCTAACCCCCAGGTGGCAGGCCGGGCCCCGGGGTGCGACGGTGGACTGTGTCCGTGGGTGCCTGGACCCAGGGGCCACATTGCAGGCCCGGGCTGCAGGTGGGCGCGGAGACTTCACGGCCCTGAGACGCTGAGCAGAACCGCCGCCACATCTTCAAGCGATTACAGCAGGAATGGGGCGCAGATGGTCCCGCCCGCCCGCCGCCAGAAGGGCAGCAGCTGCGTTGTCCCAGATGCAGCGGGACAGGAGACCAGAGCAGTGGGGCAGAGGGTAGGGGGCCAGGGGTGCTGGGCAAGCTGCACAGGATTTTGGGATGGACTCTGCCAGGGTGGCTGCTTGACCTGCTCCTCGTGGGCTCCACCCTGCAGGGTCCAGCTCATTGCTTCCCTTCACAGGAGAGAACAGAGAGGTTCAGTAATTCGCCTGGGGCTGCTCAGGGTGGGGGGGCGCTCCTCTTTCTCCTAGGCCCTCTGCCTTCCTCCTTCTTGTGTGGAAGAGTCCTGCTCAGGCCTGCCTCCCTCCCCAGCGTTTCTTCCAGGCTGAAGGACACCCTGCCCCAGGCCCCTCTGGCAGCAGAGAGGCAGCCAGGCAGGTCCTTAGGCCCAGGAAGCAGGAAGCCCAGGTGCTCCTAACATCAGGGTGGGAAAAGGGGACCAGGAATTAGAGTCACCCTGGACAGGCCTGGACAGGGCAGTGACAGGGCCTGTGATCCCTGATAAAGGAACCATCACATTCTCTTGGGAAAGCCCATCCGGATCCGGGAAGTGCCCCGCCGTGGGCAGCTCTGTGGTCCTTAAGGGGGCAGCACTGTCAGGGGCAGAGCAGCTAAAAGTGTCAGTGCAGGAGAGGCACTGGCCAGGGTGCCCTGCCTTGGGGGCTGCCCGCTGCCCTGGCTGGGCCCTGATGCCCAGCAGGCCTTCCTGGCCCTCTGAGGCTGGGGCACAGAGGCCAACCAAGTCCCCTGCTGTGCCCTAGGGCACAGGTAGCTGTCCAGATCCAGACGCTGGCGCAGCCACACGCTCGGACCAGCAGGGAAGGCGAGGATGGCTCTCACGGGGCGGACCACGCAGCGCACCGAGGTGCCGGCTCTGCTCTAATCTGCCAAGACAGTTTGGAGCTTTTCAATAAAGCGTGTGAAAAAACGCAGACCCCGGGCTTACTTGACATCAAAGGTGCCTCCTCGTCAACTTTCAATTTATCTCTTAAGGAGCAGAGGAAAAAAATCTTGGATAAAATGGTCGGAATGTGAAAAAAAGGCGGGCGAGGTGAGGGAGGCCGCGGAGCCGCTGGGAGGCTGCGCCCGCATTGCACCAGGAAGAGCAGCTGTCCCACGCCCAGGGGATGCCCGGCCAGCGACGGCGGTCACGTGCACGTGCTGGGGTCCACCCGGCATTTTTCTGTAGTTCCATCATGAGTTGTGAAGCTGAACAAAAAGCAAAACAACCTTCTAAACCAACAGTCAGAAAGTGCAATTGGGAGTGCTCTGGGGAGGTTGGGCGTGCGCCCCACCGGGCTGCGGAGAGGATGATTTTACACCTTGGGCTCACTCGGGGCGACAGAGGATCAGACCCACAAAAATGCGGGAAGAGTAGCAGAAATCTCATTTTTATACCTGCCAGACGGGTAATCGCAATCAGATGTTGGGTTTCTGGACGGCTCGGTGTCCGTGCTGTTTGTCAGAAGTGAGGAATGTGTGGGTGCTGCGATGCTGCTCGTGAGGGAAGGTGCACTTTGTTCTTGGGTTCGCACTCAGCAGCGCTTGCTTCGTCCTTCAAGGGGCCCTGGGTGCGGGCACGCATCTGCCCGAGGGTGTCCAGCGGCCCCCTCCTCCCTCTCCTGTGCTCTAGGGCTTCGTCGGGCTCCCCCTCCTGTCAGACACCGGTCACTACCACTTATGTTTTTGTGGTACCAGAGCTTGTCCCCGGGCCTTCACACCGAGCTGCACCCCCTCCTGTTTTCTGTTTTTCATTCTGATGCAGGTCTTGCTAGGTTGCTAAGTTGCCCTGGCTGGACCTGAACTCGCAATGCTCCCGCCTCAGGCTCCCAGAGTTCTGGGGTCACAGGTGTGCACTGCCACACCTAGGTACCATCGCTGACTCTTATTTTTTTCTCCCAGCGTGACTGGATTGACGCCTTTTTTTTGGTCCCAGGAATCGAACTCGGGACCTTGTGCTCACCATCCAGATGCTTGTACCGTTGAGATGGGTTGACTCCTGCTTGTCCCTGGGCTCCGAATCCAGGAGCTGAATGTGCCTGGGCTTGGGGAACCTAGCTCCAAGTGACTCTGTGCTGTGCAGTGACGTGATTCCCACTGAGGGCACCGTGGGGCATGGCCCCCATCCTGCACCCACACTAGACCCCACACAGGCTCTCAGAGATGAGAAACGAGGCACGGAGCGGAACAAAGACCCCCCCAGGACTATGCACCCAAGTGACCTCTGTCCATGGCCATGGTGCAGGGTCTCCCAGCCTGGGCCTGGTGGCCGTAGGGACAAGTGTCAGGACCCCTGCAGAGCCCACTGCAGCTCCCCAGGACAGCCACTCAGGAGCCTCTCCCCAAAGCTG